TCACTGCAGTTTCAGTGTTGTATTTGCCTTTGCACTCAGCCAGGATGTCCAAGTGCCGTTTTCTGTGGTCCCTCTTAGCCTATAAGCACAGTCAGTGAATACTTCTGTCTCACCAGTGTGGTCTGATCAGGTCTCTGTGCCAAATGGTTTGGGGAAAACGAGAGAAGGAGAATTTGTGGGGTCAGATTTTGGCAAATGAGAATGTGCTTTGTTGAGACTTCAAACTGCCTGCAGGCAGTGGGACAGGTTCCAGTCCCCAGGGAGAACAGTGACATTGGCAGTGTCATTACTGCAGTCGCTCCTGGGTAGGTTCTGATTGGTGCCAATGATTGCCAGCTCCTGCCTGTACTCAGACCAGAGAACAGATTGCTGTTGTTACTCTGGTACTTCTCTGCTGGTAGCAGACGAAGGAAGGCAGTGCCTCCCTACCCTCATGTGTTGAACTCATCCAAGATATGCAGTTAATCTGATTTCAGACTGCAGCTAATGAGAGGATCTGATGCTAGAAGGCTGCAAAGTACTCTCATGAAAGAAAAATATTCTTATGCACAACGTAATTGTTTATGGCTCTCTGTTTCAGCAATGACTCCGTGCTGTATTGCACATCCAAGCCTTGCAGGAACAGACTGCTCAGACAGGCTCACTCACCCAGACCTAATCACACACACTACCTGGCATAGCTGCCTTTCCTCAGCTGCTTTGTGCTTACAGCAATTCCATCTCTTCCCTCCTGTTCCAGTCCTCCAAAAGCCTGTGTTTCTTTGTTCTGCACAAGATGGCTTTTGAGTTCGTACTGCATCCCACACATCTAATGTAAAGGAGCTGTGTCAGGCACTGAGCAAGAAGAGATTGCCATTGCAGTGGTTTTTTCTACATCTTTCTCATTTCTTCTCTGTGCTTGGCAATCTGATGCGATGAGCTTGCAGCTATCAGCAAGTAGCTGTGTCTCTTCCTAGGCAGGTGGTTTGGTGCTCTGATGGCCGTAGCTCTGCTTTTTGCTGTGCATTGGGACTGTGCGGCTGTTCATTGCTGCCCTGCAGAGATGACTGCTATTTCACCAGCAATAGCTTGCTCCATCCCACCTGTGTAGCCATGACCTGGGCTAGCACTGTTCCCTGGAGCTGCTACAGCAGAACATATTTTGCCAGTGACATTCTCCACCCAGCCTGGGCTTGTGGAGCCTCAATTTTACAGGCACTCAGCCTAGGCACAAACTAACCAGACCCACTCTGTGCTGTTTCCAGATTCACCAGGATCTCGGCCTGACCAACCACGTGCCTTTGCTGAAGAAGTCCCTGGAACAGTTTGTGTATCGCGTGAAGGCAATGCTAGCTTTCAACCGCTGCCAGGAGGCCTTCTGGGTGGGCATCCTGAAGAACCGAGACCTGCAGGTGAGCACTGCTGTGCTGCATGGGCACCGAGAGCTGGGGGACAGTGCTCACCTTGTGCAGACTGCAGCTAAGAGGCCACGTGAATCACAGAATGAATCACAGAATGGCCTGGGTTGCAAAGGAGCACAGTGCTCATCCAGTTCCAACCCCCTGCTGTGTGCAGGTCGCCAACCAGCAGCCCAGGCTGCCCAGAGCCACATCCAGCCTGGCCTTGAATGCCTGCAGGGATGGGGCATCCACAGCCTCCTTGGGCAACCTGTGCCAGTGCCTCACCGCCCTGTGTGTGAAGGTGGCTGTTAGAGCTGTAGCAGAGCGGGAAGTACTTGAAGTTGGCCGGGTTCTGCACCTCAGGGTGCCGGCCCGGTGCGGCCCATCGCGCTGGTGACTCGTGCTGTTTGCAGATAAGGGCGGGGGTCCCTTTGCTCGCTGCCCCATCGAGGCTACCGAAACGCTTTCACATCCCGCCCGCTCAGCGCCGCTCTTCCTCCCTCCGCTCAGGGAGAAGAAATCCTGTCCCAGGCTACCGCAGCTCCGGAGGAGGACTCGGAGGACTCAGCGGACGGCGGAGCCGAGGTAGGGCCGTCCACGGCTCCGCGCCGCCCGGCCGGGCCGCCCGCTGCCGCCTGAGCCCGCTGTCCCGCAGGAGCCGGGCGGCGCGGACAGCGACAGCGACAGCGGCGGGGCGGGGCGCTGAGCCCGCGGGGGGACGGGAGGAAGAGGAAGAGGAAGAGGAGGCGGCGCGCATGCGCGGGCGGCGGCGGCGGCCATGTCGGTGCAGGAGGACCCGGTGCAGCGAGAGATCCACCAGGACTGGGCCAACCGCGAGTACATCGAGGTGATCACCAGCTCCATCAAGAAGATCGCCGACTTCCTCAACTCCTTCGGTGAGGGCCGCGGGGTTTGGGGGGGAGGAGGAGGAGGAGGGGGAAGGGTCCGGGCGGGCGGGCGCTGACCGCCGCTCCCGCAGACATGTCGTGCCGCTCCCGCCTGGCCACGCTGAACGAGAAGCTGACGGCGCTGGAGCGCAGGATCGAGTACATCGAGGCGCGGGTGAGCGGGCGGCGGGGCGGGGCGGGGCGCGGCGCGGGCGGGGGCTGAGCGCTCGCTGTCCCCGCAGGTCACCAAGGGCGAGACGCTGACGTAGACGCCGCCGGAGCCCCCCGCGCTCCCCCGCCGGCGGGGCCGCGTTGCCGGGGCCGCGGAGTGCCGCTGGGGGTCCGGCACAGCGCCCGGCGATGCGCATCTCCGTCTCTTCCTCCTCCTCCTCCTCCTCCTCCTGTCCGGGAGCTGAGTGGCAAGAAGCGAGAAGCCGCCCCCCGCACCGCCCCCCCGTTTATCGCAGTTCTTCAGCGGGCATCCGGAGCCGCAAGCACACTGCTCTTGTTGAGTGTTTTGTTGGGAGACCGCGGGGTTGGCGGCAGTAAAAGTCTTGTTGCTTCCCAGCAGGCTCGGTACGTTATTCTGCAGCTCCTCGTGGTGCCGATGTGACACCCACATGCCTTGTATTCCCCTTGTTATCCCCCTGCTGCCAGCCCCGACCTCAGCTGGTTGCTCCCTAGAGTGCATTCTACCTTAAGGTTTCCCTGTCTGTGGGAAGCTTTGCTTTCTGCTCTCAAAGCAAGAAGACTCCTCTAAGCCATCTCAAAGCTGCGTAGCCAGCTGTGGGTGCCCGTGGAGGCAGCAAAGGCCAGCTTGGGTGGGATCCTGCCCAGGTGCCTGGCACCCAGCCCAAGGCAGGGGGTTGGACCTATGGTATCCTTAAGATCTCCTCCAACCTTCTCCATTCCGTGACGCAGCTTGCTGTCAGGTCAGGCTGCACATCCCTGCTGCAAGGCTGCCGGCTGACAAGACATGGGGTGCTGTGCTTGGGTGTGTCAGAGGGTTGACACACTGCTGTCATGCAGCAGGGGCAGGCAGAAGAGCACCCAGCTCTTCTTGGAGAAAGCTGCATTGTGGCCTGTGGATACTAAAAGTCCACCCGTGTGCTGTGTGTGCTCATGGATGGGCTGGAGTGGAATCTGCAGAGAGCTTTGTGGGGGTGAGGCCCTGAGCAACCGTGTCAGTCTTGGAAGTTGACAGTGCTTCGAGTGCACCTGTGTACTGTAACTCCCAGTAGTGGGAGTTACAGACCTCCAGAGGTCCCTTCCTGCCTAAATTCTCATGGCATTCTTCAGCCTAATGGGGTGGAAGACAGAGTATTGCAGATATCCCTGGATCTAGGGCTGAACCTTGCTGACTTCTTGGCTTGAGATCCATTGCTTACTTTGCTTCTCAGCTGACTGTGCGCTGTGTCTCTGCCTGCTCTCTGGCAGGCTCTGCAGTGGTTCCCCCTTCTGCCAACCTGCTGTTTCCAACAGCAGCAGGTGCTGCTGTGTGTCCAGAGCATATTGATGTATATGCGTTTTCCCTGCCACAAGTGTATTGTAGCAGCAGATGAACACATGCTCTGTATCCTCAAAGCACACTTTCATTTGGCCCTGGGAGAGCTGGGTGCTCAGGCAGCCTTTCACCTCTGGTTGTTAATGCTCACAGTCTTGTCCCAGAGCCCAGCAGAGAAGAACAGTGAGATATACAGATTGAATTCAAAGTTGCAGTCTGATCCGAAGTACATTCTAAGGCACATGAGGTGTGGACCAGGAGCTCTCTAGGTACTTCTTGCTATCAGAGCCGTGGTGTTACAGCACTGTACTTTGAGGAAAGATAGGAAAGAAGGTCTGTAAGAGAAAATAATCTTAAACGCTATTGAATGTAACAGAGAACTGCTGTTTGTCCCTCTAAATGCCCAGCTCTGGGAGGCTCTGAAGGTGCAAGGAGGTGGTGTCCGCTTCCCTGTGGGTGCCAAGGCCCTGGCAGAAGTGCTCTCCCAAAGAGAGGGCTTGCCCTGCCTGCTGGGCACAGGGGTAGGGAAAAGTTCTGATTCACTGGGCTGTTTTTGTCGCTTCCCAAAAGCTGTCTGCACCCACTCACATCACTGCACCGCTGTTTGCTCATGAGGATGCTGTCAGGGGTCCATACTTACCACAATCTTGGGCCTTCCATGTGTGGGGGATGTGATTTTTAAGAGCTTTATTTATTCAGAGATGGCATTACGTGGGGTTTCTAATTTAGCTGAGTGATTAAAGAATATCGCAAAACCAAAGCACATGTTGGTTACTCTTACTGAAATACAGTAGTCACAGAGGTCCCAAAATAAACACGGTGCACGCTGTCAGTCTCTGTGCTTGTTGTTGGGGCTCGGCAACCCTGCACTGCTCTGGCTGGATGTGTTCTTGGCAGCACTGCTGCAGAAGCATTGGCATCACCAGCTGGGACATAGAGCTGCTGGAGGTTTGTCTAAACTAAAGCCAACTTCACACTGACTTCAATGCGAGTAGTAGTGGAGGTGGGTATGTGCCTATCCAAAACGGCTCTGATACTTGTGTCGTGGAATTAAGACTGCAAAACAGGGCCACCCCCTCCCCGCCAGCCCACTGCCCACATCCCTCAGGGCCACCTCCCCACAGCTCTTGCACTCCTCCAGGGACGGTGACTCCCCTTGAAGCTGCACCACAAGGCAGAGAAGAACCAAACTGACAGTGGCATGATGGAACTGTCACTTTTATTGATGGATTGTGGTGACTTTACACAGCAGTTGGAGCTGGTACACGGCTGCTCCTGCAACATCAGTGGGGCCGGCGGTTGATGTTCTGGGCCCGACGTGGAACCCGGGAGCGGCTTCGCCCCTGGGCTGGCCTTCACCGCCTGGACCGGCTCCTGCGGCGACTGCAGCCGACTGCTCAGGAGTGCCTCGAGGACCGAGATGTCCCTTGGCTGGCAGAGGTCGGGGTGCTGCTCTCGGTATTTGGGGCTGCAGCACGGCTGCTCGCATAGCATCCTTGGAGCTCATTGCATGCATCGTCAACGCGATGTAAACGTGAGCACATTCTCTTCCATTTTATCCTGCGCTGGCTGGACAGGCCTCTGCTCTCAGGCACCTTGGAACCGTGAGCCGACCCCGATGGTGCCTGGCTGGTGATGCTGGAGCCGCTGCTCGTCTGCGATGTCATAGGGCCTTGGAGAGGCCCGTGTCCCTGTTGGGTGGCAGTGCTGGGGCCAGCGCTGTCCACATTGCTGCTGGAGGCTGTAAGGGAAGGCAGGAAGATGAGTGGGATGGAACTCCAGCCCTGGGGTGGGACAGACTCCCACCCCTTCTGGACCAAAGGGACTTGAGCAAGATCTCGCCTTGCCCCAGCCCAGCAGCATGTGGCTGTTTGTCTCTTACAGGTGCCCTCTCCAGCACAGGCGTTGCACTCCCAGGCCTTTGTGCTCAGGCTCAAGTAGGAACAGCGCCGATGGGTGCCTCGCGCAGCACAGGAGCTGCAGAGGAGCAGCTGCCAGGGCCTGGGGAAAACAACAGGATGTGGCCGTGAGGACAAAGTGAGCTGAGCCAGGGAGCGCCCAGCATGGCTCTGGTGCTCAGTTTGTGCTCTCCCAGCCCGTGGCGAGGCTGCGATCCCACGCGGAGGCCCAGAGGGCTGCTGAGGGAACTCACCCCTCTCCTGCTCGGTCCCTGCCGTGGGGGTAACGGCACTCCCTGGCATCGCAGCGCTTGTGCTTGTCTCCCTCTTGTACGTATGAATTGTTGTCCCATATTGGTCCTCTGCCAGAGAAAGGAAGAAATCTGATGAGCAACCACTGCCTCTGTAGTAAGACGGACGCAGGCCATTCCTCCTCTTCCAGCCCAACACCGTTTCCAGCTTCTCCATGAAGCTGAGGCCAACGCTGTTGGCGGCAAAGATCCAGGCCTGCTTGGGCCATCCCTGGGCAGGCACAGCTCTTGTGCACTCAGGCCTGGAGAACCAGGAATGGGATACCAACCTGGATGGGATACGGATCCCCATGGCGTTCATATAATCAAAAAATTCGTCCTCTTCTTTGCAGTGTGGACAATGCAAAGTAATGCCCGCACACAGGGCCAGTCTCTGCAGCAGAAACAGAACAGGGTGAGTGTGAGCCAGGCCTGGTGCTGCTGAGCACCTGCCGTGCTCTTGGGGTGAGGAGAGGGCTCCTACCTGGATGCAAGCCCGGTGGAACCAGGCGTTTTGGCAGGCTGGGCACACCATGGTGCTGTAGGACACGCTGTCCCCCACGGGGTCCATGCAGATGATGCAGGTCGTGTCCTGCGCCGGCGCTGCCTTCACTGCCTGCTTCAGGTGATGCTCCATGCAGAGGGACCTGGGGGAAGACGGGAGGGACGGGCAAGGTGAGAAGTGCTGCGAGGAGGGCAGAGGAACAGGAAGGAGTCCCAGGCCTTGGCTCTGGCTCTGCCAGGCTGCTGGGAGGCGTCACAGCGCGCTCCTTGCTTCTTTGGCTGGTGCTGAAGCAGGGCTTGGAGGCCCACAGGCGATGCCTGGCAGCCCTTACCTGAACTCTCCAAAGTACTGGGTGACGCATTCACCCTTGGAAGCGCAGGGGAGATGGAAGCTGCGGTCGCAGCCTGGCTCTGCGCAGGTGATGGCGGCCCCCACATTGCCACAAACAAAGCAGAGCTGTAAAGAGCAGAGCATTTCCCATCAGCTGCAGGCTCAGGGCCTACGCAGCAGGCCCCGCACCTCTGTGCAGGGCACGGGATGGGGGCAGGGCTGGCTGGCACTCTGCAGAGCTGCCTGCTGAACAGGGCTGGTCTGCAAGAGCAGGGATTTCTCTTGGGGCTGGCTGGAAGGGCCGGGATTGTGTTCTTGAGACCAGGCAAAGCTCAGCCATGCCTCCGCTGGCACCAAGCTCCCTGTTCCGGTGCGGTGCTCACCGTCTGCTCTGCCTGCACGATTGTGCGTATAATCTCAACCCTGCTTAAATCATCATTTCTCTTCTGTCTTGCTGCTCCTTGAAGAAGGCCACCCACAAACAGCTGTATGGGAAAAGAGCATGATCTTGTTATGGCAGAAAGGAGGGAACCATTGTTTGGAGGATGGTGGAAGGAGCTGTGAAGGAACTCACTGCACAAAACTGGTGGAAATAGATCCCACTGATGATCAGTTTGTGCCCATAGATGTCTTTGTCAGCATCTCCCTGACCACAGAGCACGCAAGCTGGAGAGGAGAGAGGAACAGCAGTGAGCGCCTTGCGGAGCCAGGTGCCCCTGGGGGCTGTCCCAGGGGCTGCTGTGTGCCAGCTGTGCCAGCTGAGGGGCTGGCCAGAGGCCATGGAGGGGAAGGGACACTGCAGGCCCAGCAGTGCCAGCAGGCGGCCACAGCCCAACCACGGCATCCCTCTGCCCAGTGGTGGGGAGCTGTGCGCAGCGATATTTACTTTCACCCATCTGCCATGAGCTGGCAGGCTTCTTTGTCCCCTTGGACATCGTGTGCATCAACGGCGAGCACTCGCAGAGTGTCTGTCCCAGCAAAACCAGGCTTTCTCCTCCGCGTGACAACCTAGGGGAGAAGCGGGACGAGGCTGAGTTCTCAGCTCAGGCCCCGAGCGCTGGGGAGCCCTCCTCCCTGGGCAGCCTCAGGCAGCCCCTTCCTCCCTGCTCACCTCACCAAGTCGCACTGAGCTCGGCCTGAGCCCCGCAGCCTTGGCTCTGTTCTGCACCCCGCAGGTCACAGAGGCTGTTCCGTGCCACCCTCTGTGATGCCATCACATCTCACCGGGGCTGAGGGCACCCAGGCAGCAGGGCGGAGGCTCTTGCAGCCAATGCAGGGTGAGGGGCCCGGTGCCGGATGCAGCGCCGCTGGAACCCGGCGTGTTGGTGCTGCTGAAGGCACTGGGCGACACGTCCACCCTCCTGGCCCCACCTGAGTGCTGCCGGGCCTGTGGCTCCAGCAGTATCCCAATCAAGCGCTCAGCTGTTTCTATGGTGTTCTCAAGGCTTTACTTTTTGGTTGCTTGCTGCTGGTTACCTCTCGCTACAATAAATGACTCGACTCACAGAATCACAGCGTCTCGGTGGTTGGCAAAGACCTCTAAGATCACCAAGATCAGCAGTGGTGGGCTGTGTGTGTGCTGTAATACAAATGAGTACTGCTTGTGTGAGGTTTCTTCTCTGAGTGCTGCAGGGCAAAAATAGCATGGCTGCCCACCACAACAGTGAGGCTGAGGTGGAGATGCACAGGGTTAAGCCATGACCTCCTGGGAGGATAGGTGCACCCAAATACACTCAGGTCACCTAAACCTTCAGGTTTTGGGCTCAGGGTCTCCTTTTTCATTACAGAATCCTTGTCCATCAGGGCCCTGAGCCTCTGTTTTGGATCCAAAGATGTCACTGTATTGTTTACGTGCTCCTTTGGACGTCCCAGGCTGTCATCTTCACGGTACAGTGTCTTAGTTTTAGTTTTAAGACCCACCATTTCATTTTAAGATGTAGAACCACATTCTGAGGCTCCCAGTGCTTTCTTCAAGAGGAAAACTCTTTTTTTTGTTTGGTTTTTTTTTTTGTTTTCTGAGCTCCCAAATCCTCCTCCTAGGAGCCTGAAGTTTAGGGCCAAAAGCCTCCTTTCAGAGAACCAAACACCCAATTTCAGGGATCAAAGCATCATTTGGGGGATCCGCCCCGAGGTGGAGAGTCCAGATACTCGGTTCTAAGGGCTAAGGCTACACGTTGAGGTGCAGACCATAGTCTCTGGGACACAAAGCCTCTTCTCAGTCTCCAAATAGCTTTTTTTGCAGACCCAAAGTCATGGTTGTAGTGCTCTGAGCCTCTTCTGTAGTGCCCAGTGTCTCTCCTGTAAGACCAAAGCTGCTGCTTTGAGTTCAGAGAACCATTCTTGGTTCTCATTCTTTTCAGACCCAGCATGTCCTAAGTGGCCTCAAGCCCCCTTTTTGAGGGCCTGAAGTTGCATGTTGGGGGCCAAAGCCTGATTCTTAAGGCTCAAAGTCTCTTTTGGGGATCAAACTGCCATTTTGAGAGCTCAAACCATCACTCTGGGGCATCCAAAGCTGTTGTTTTATTGCCTAAACCTCCATCTCTGTTTTTAACGGTCAAAGCCTGATTTGCACAACCCTGAGCTTCAGGCTCACGAACTGAGCCAGCGCAGGAGAAGATGCACAAGGAGCAGAGCTGAGCAGCCGGTGGGAGGAGATGCACGAGGAGCAGAGCTGAGCAGGAGATGCGTAAGGAGCAGGGCTGAGCAGAGGGCAGGAGGAGATGCCAGGAGATTTCCAGGGCGCTCAGCTGTCTGCCTGTGAGGAGCGCCACCAGTGCCACACACTGTGGAGCCTGGAGAAAAGCTGCCAAAAGCCGAAGCCTGACGGTGGTGGTGGCCCTGTTTCTCTCAGGATCCATGCCGTCTGAAGGGACTGCAAAGATATGGATCCACTGGGGTCTCGCAGCACACTGTGAAGGCCTGAGATAACAGAGGAACAGAGGCTCTATGATAGCCGTGTACCTGCAGGACGCCCAGCTCTCCTCACCAGCAGAAGGGAGCAGGAGACAGGCATGTCACCTGCCTGCTGCCCCAACATCCCACTCCCTGGCTCACCCTGGTAGATGTTCTCTCTCTCAGCCTGCTGCTGATCCCTCTTGTGCTGCCCTAAGAGTCCTGGTAACATAAAACCCCATCAGCAACCCCGGCTGCTCCCTGGGTGCAGCATGGAGGGCCGGGCACAGGGGAAGCTCAGTCTCGTGGCTCACCGATGAACCTCACGGCCTCCCGCCGCAGGGGCTCCTGCGGGCTCTGTAGGTAGAGCAGGCTCTGGCCCAGGTAGTCCTGCGCTGCGCTCTTCCTCCTCTCCACCAGCTGGAGAGAAAAGGGCACGGAGTCAGCGCGGAGCAGAACTGAGCCTGTCCTGGGCTGTGGGAATGCGCGCACCAGGCACTCGCCGATCTGCCAGAACTGTGCCACCTCTGCCAGGCGCTGCAGCCGCCTCCAGCGCAGGAACCGTGTGGCACCAAGGAAGGCTTTCTGGGAGGCCTGCCAAACGGCTGAGATGCCACTGCAGTCCGAGCAGAGGCAGAGCCCGTGATCCTCGCAGCCCCTCCGCAGGGGGGATGCAGCTGCAGGGCTGACGCTGCCGTGGGCTGCAGCACCCCTGTGTTTGGGGGGCACCGCAGGGGCAGCGCCGCCCCCCCCCAAATGAACGCAGTTCCCACCTTGGCCACGCTCTCTTCCTCGTCGTGCAGGTGCAGATACAGCGGGACCAGGCTCCTGTACACCTCCTTCCGCATCTTCCTCTTCTCTCTGCCCTCCACAAAGCTCAGCGTGTCAAGGAAGAGGTGCATGGAGAGCTGGCGCACCGTGCCGGACTCCTGCGAGGAGGAAGGAAGGATGTAAATGTCAGCTCCAAGTCTACTGTGAGCAGGGCCAGCACCGCCAGCGTGGGGACACTGGGGGCCCGGCCACATCCCTAGCAAGCTGGGCTCCCTGCTCCCCTTACGTCCTCAAAAAGCGCTGGGAGATTGCCGGCCAGCTCCAGAGCCACGAGGCTGAGCTTCCCCCTCTCCAGGAGCCGCAGCAGGGTGCTGAGCACTGGCAGGGCCACGGCGCGGGCGCCGCTGTCTGCATCCTGTAGCTGCTCCATGATGCACGGCAGCAGGCTGAGCATTTTCCTCGCCTGCGGGAAAAACAGCCCAACAGAGACCATTGCTGGGGCAGAACGGCTCCAGCTGCAGCCTCCCTACTGGCTTGTCATCGTGGCACGGCGCCGGCAGGCAGGGTGGTCCCACACAGCCCCGGGGCAGCAGGCAGCTGATGGGCAGAGAGCTGCTCCTGCTCACCACGTCCGGCCTCTTGCTGAGCTCCAGGATGCTCCTGAGCACCAGCTGCTGTGTGCCCACGCTCTGGCTCTGCAGACAGGTGTTGAAGAGGCTCACGACGCGGTGCAGCTCTTCACTGGGGTCCACGCACTCCAGCATCTGCAACACACGCGGCTCTTAGTGCTGAGTCCTACCACCAGCTCGGGGCAAGGACAGCAGGGCACGGCCAGGCCTGGCCCCGAGGGAGGCAGCAGGGTTGGTGTGGAGGTCCCGCAGCTCCACGTTCACTGCTTCTGCAGCTGCTGCTCACCTCAACGAGGAAGACTATGGCCACCATCTCCCAGGAGCAGAGCTTGGTGCTAAGCAGCTCAACCAGCTGATGGAAGATGGGGTCACGCAGAGCACCAGGCAGTTCCCTCATCACCCTGGCGGGGATAAGAAGGCACCATCAGCCCTGAGCCGGGCGGGCACAGCTCTCCTGGCCGTGCTCTGCTGCCACAGTGCCCCAGGGGCCACAGGCTGTGTGCTGTGGCAGCACTTTGTCTGAGAGCTGGGGACTCCCCATCACCACAAGGAAGGGCTCTCACCTGGCCACCACCTGCACGCCCTGGAGGTGGGTGACGGTGCTGAGAAGCGCGTCCCAGCCCCCCTGCTCCTGGATGGCCTCCATCTGCCTCTGGAGGCCCACGCTGCAGAGCAGCACCTTCAAGGCCTGCACCGCGGACCTGCAGGTGGAGAAGGGTGCGAGTCGCATTGGGAGCCCCAGCACCGGGTCCTGGTGCAGCGGGGGGACGGGGATGTGGCACCTGATGGGAGTGAGCTGGTGCTGCCGGTGCTCCTCCCAGAAGATTCCCACCTCCTGCAGTGTCAGCTCCGTGGTGAAGGACACTTGCAGGAGGAGGGCCAGGAAGAGCTGGGGGAAAATGGCCTCGGCCTCCTTCATGACAAGAGGCAGCTGGAGTATCTCAGGGATGGTCCTCGCTGCCTGCTGAAAGCACCCAGACGCTGTCCTTTTCCCATCCCCCAGGTTTCCAGCCCACCTCAAGAGGTGTGGGAATGGAGGGACAGATGGAGAGGGACACCCCCAGAGCACCAGGCAGGTCTAGGAGTGTGTTCCAGTGCCCCAGGGCAGAAACCAGGCTTGGGAGTGGACAGGGAAGGGTAGCGAGGACTCAGGCTGAGCTGGGTGAGTGAGGAACTCACAGCTAGAGCGAGGACACGTGGCCAGTCCTCGATGGATGGGGATGTGTGTCGCAGAGAATGGTTTGTGAGCGCTTGGAGCAGCTCCTGCAGCACCTTCTCCACAGCTGAGGGCTCCGAGAGCATTTCCCTCCACATGGTGACGGTGACACTGCGGGTCCCCAGGGCTGTCAGCGTGGCTGCCCCCGCCTGGCTGACGGCCGTGGGGCGGGGAGGGGAGAGGAGCCCTGAGGGCTGTGGGCCCCGGACCTGGTGCAGGTGGGGGAGCAGCCCAGCAGGCTGCTAACCATCTCCCTCGGGTGTTTGCCGGCCAGCACGAGCAGGGCCCTGCCCAGGCTTTCGAGAGCCGGCTCAGCTTCGATGGAAGGCAGGCTGCCGTAGATCGTCTTCACAATCTTTCGCACCTGGAGGGGGACACACGTGAGAATGGAAAGGCACTGGAGCAGGGCCCTGCCGCCGTCCCCTCTGCTGCCTGCTGGCCAAACGCGGTGCCAGGGATGGGGCAGAGCCCCGAGGGCGGGAGCTGTGGCAGCC